GCTATTTGAGAACGAAGGGCTGCCATTTTTTCTGTCAGTTTTGGGTTGATTTTCACGAAATTCAAACTCAGCCGTCCTTAGGGTGTAACGGTGATATAATAATACGATTTTTTAAATCGGATAAAAATTATGACCTCTATAGGGCCCACAAGCTAAAAACGCGATTTTTTGTACAATCAGGGGCCATAATTCAGAAATGAAATGAAATGGGGTTTAACGTCCTACTGTTCTGCTCCTATACTGGGCTAATGAAGACAGGCATACGCCATACAGTGTGCTATGAGGGAAATTTTGCCCGGGCAGCGGCACTATCACCTACTCTAATATCAAATTCCAACTGCCAGGGGATTTTTTACGTGCATTCCAATATATAGACAGGACCTCGGTTTCTTGTCTCATCCGAAGGACTAGACAGCTGTCCTTGTCAGGCCCTCCGTTCTGCACCACTGACAAGGGGAAACCACGTCGGAAAATCTGTAGGAACTTTCTCGGTCAATGCAGGGATCGAACACCCGACCTCCAGGCTAGCGAGCCAGCGTCTTAACCACCTAGCCAGTAGCCACTGTGGCTCCGCCATAATTCAGGAAGTTACGGTTCAATATGCGCGAATATCGGAAGGAACCGGGATCTTTCGGTTATAAACTTACATTTCAAGTTTCAACAAAATCAGATAAAAATTGTGACCTCTACAGTGTTCACAAGCTAAAAACGTGATTTTTAGTACAATCAGTGGCCATAATCCATGAAGTTACAGCCCGATACATGCCAATATTGAAAGGAATCGAGATCTTAGGGTGATAAACCTATATTTGATCTTGGGGTTTTAATTTGGTGCATCATTTAACTGCTTATATTGCCTTACCAGGGCTTGCCACGAGACGCGAGTAATTACTCGCGCGCACGCTACGCTCGCGTAAAACCAAATTTACGTGAGTGATTAAGTACTCGCGCAAATATAAAAAATAATTTAATCAGAAATAATTGAATATCGTAATATAAAAAGCCGTAAACAATTTGTATGCCTTCATATTGATGCACTATTGCGCACGCGGCGTGTCTTTCCAGTTCCAACTGTTGTTACTAAAAATACTTTGAGACGCGTACTGCCAGGCGGTTTTTAAGCGGATGTCTCGATGTCCTTTGCCGTGTCTGGATAATCAAACATTGAGCGGATGTTGTCGTTTCTATTAATAGCAATTCTTTCGATCCCGCATCTTTTCTACAAATTGATGTGATTGAAATTGTTTTGCCTGTTCTTTTACCTTTCTAAGCTTTAACCGAATCCCCTCAGCACGCCAACGATGGCAAAGGGAAACCCAGTTTCCCTTGCAACGTTATTGTCATGGGAAGACGATTTACAGATAATATTACTGCCAAGGAAATAAAAGAGTATGCATTGCCTTTGTGTGTGAAATAGCTTTATTCAACGTCCGCTTCCACCGAAGTGACAAGAGCATTGCCATTAGGAACATGAAATTTAAATGGCTACTCACGCACATCATTCTGCGTGAGTAAATACATGTACTCGCCTCACTCGCGCAAGTCTATATTTGCGTGAGTAGTCATCTACTCGCCTCCAATTTGCTCGTGGCAAGCCCTGCTTACAATAAAATAAACGGGTGGGCCGCAGCTATATTTCCCATGCAATGAAAATAAATTGAATGAGAATTATTTTTGTGAATGGTAGCATGTTAAAATTATATGACATTGGCAATATTAAAGTGCACATAAGATGGGCTTGGGAACTTTTCGTTACGTGTAGCCAATGGTTACTATATCAAATTTACGGCAAGTTCACACCAATCTGATTGAAATTAATTCAGTTATCTTCCCTCAAAGTCGTAAAAATAGACCTCCCGTATCAACGACTTTGCCAATTATCGAAAACACTCTTAATCCCCTCAGACGCCAGTGACGTCACAGTGACTGAATGCATATTCGGAATGTTTATTCCTTAATTACCTATATACAGCCGGTGTGTGTACTCATTAACGCCTGACTGGTTCCTTAATCCCCCTTAGTTCCATTATTAAATAAAACAATTGACTACGGAATAATTTGTTTTGTAATTCATTTTAATTTAAGATTCAATTTAGAATTTGTTTCTCATGACAGCAATTTTAATACCCTTTAACATCGCGTGCAGTCCAATTGATTAGAGATACATTTTCGTCAAAAGAGTATTGTGGTTTTAACTTGTCAACTGGTGGTGTGTATTGTATAGATAATGTATATAGTATGTGTAGTGCCTGTGACGTCACCAGCCAATCAACCGGATTAAGGTTGTAATTGAAAATTTGAAAACCGTTTTTGGCTTTCGGATACTTAAACCTCAATAGCTGAATTAATTTTAATCAGGTTGGTTTGAACTTGCCGTAAAATGGATATAGTAACCATTGGCTATAAGTACATTCAATTAAGATTTTTAATCATATGTGGTCTTTAACATTATTTCAAATAAGTGACTCCCCATAGCATACTGAGTCACAATGAGGAAATTTTGAAAATTGAGTTATTGTTATTTTCACATTCTCCAACTCATTACCTTCAATTTGATGTATAGTTTGTTTGAATTGGGCAAAAATTGACTGAGCTGTGTCCATTAGAAGCTACCCAACTCACAAAAGTAAGTTTTGAGAAAAAGCAAGTCAAAGATTTGGTACATGTATGTTCCAAAACAAAATCCCATAGCAACCAGGCCATTTATCTGCTGTTTTGTCGTTGAATATATCTTTCCATGGGTTTTCAGGGGTGCTGAAGCCGAAATTAGTAGTAAAAATTTGATCAGACTATTTCCGCAATTTCTTTGCAATTTTGTTGTTTAATATGTTTTTTATTTAGGATTCCTAGGGTGCTGACAACAAAAATCGTAATAAATGCACTCCTTTCTTAACGAAACATCCACAACACATACGGCATAATATTCGCATGATAGTGTTATACTGAAGAAAAATCTATACATTAATAGCCTACTGTGTATATTATAACTTTGGTGAGATTAACTCAGTCAATCTTATCAATTAATTAGCACCTTAGTGCCAGCTAGTGGTCAGGAGATTAAGTTTGTTGATTAGATAATCATCAAAGAAGCCGCCACAGCTGTACACGTGTTCATTTAACACGTAAATTAAAATAAGATTTTGCGTGTAAGATAGGTCTATTATTATTTTCAGGTACTGTGACGTTATCAAAATATGAGTCCCTATAGAAATGTCAATTTCATAGTCGAGAAATGCTTACGTTCACTTTCATGCATTTTGGCTTCGATGTAAATATCAAAATTATTCAAAGGATACTCATGGCAGACTCAAGATGCCAATTTTGGCTCGTTGGTCATTCTCATTTTTTCGACCCATGGTGATAAAAGAATTTTAAACAATAATATCCCAGATGCATTCCTTACTTTGCATGCCATATGAAGAAGCGACAGTAAACGGAATTCAGCTATCAATAAAATTCTCTTCGAAAAGAAAATTATTGGCCATTTTGTTTATTTCCATTTAAGGCCTATAGATTATTTTTTTAAAGATGATATGAGATATCAAATAATCACAACTTGGATTAATTATTCAGAGAAAAAATGAGTTGTAGACAGCTTTATCATTGACCCGTGACAGTTGATTAGTAATAGTATTACTCAATGACACACACCCGCTTGTCGATTAATTTACATCATCAGCCACGTGGTTTCGATTAAAACTCAACGACAATCTATATACGATCAGAATTAATTTATTTTTCTGCCACTTATCAGAGTAAATCGCATGTAGGTACCCAAAAACATTACCGCCAAAACCAAATATTTATCGATAATGTCTTGCAAAGCGGTGTCTGGGCCAATCAGCAAACGAGTTGTGTAGACAGCATGGCAACAGGCAGAGTTTATTTATATTTTTGGGGGGTTTCAAAGCTTGATTGTATCCGTTCAAAATCAATTCATCGACAATATTTTGATCATATTTGTAAACTAGAGATGCTCCGCTTTTCAACGAGGCCAATTATTATGCAAGAGGAATGACTGGTCGTCCCGCTGCGAGCGAAGAAAAATAACTAATTTCGCCAAGAATTTTAAGAAATAGGACAGATTTAAGAATACGGTACTCTTACAAAACGTTAAAATACAGGTGTTTTAAAATGTTTTATTGCTATTTTGATCTTTTGTGTCGATAGATAGTATATTTATAGACTCATTTTTGTGAAAATCTCAATTTCGATCAAAATCAATATTTTCACTTATTTTGTCTTTATCTCATTATTGATTCGCACATATTCCGACACATTTAGCTGTGGCCAGTCACATATATCTATATGTCGCAATAGATCGAAGATAAAATTTTAACTTACAATATTATTTTAGTGGATTTTATCTAAAATGCTTAAACTCGTTTTGTGAAACACATCTATCTTAAAGATACATTATGTAAGATTTAGATAAAGAACTAGCCATTCTTGCTATAATAGTTCGAAAGTAGATGATGTAAAATGAATAATTTGAAAATTTCATTCAAATTACTCTATTGCAAGCGAAGATATTAGCCTTTGAATGTTTGACAGACGTGTGCAATAATTTCAACCACCGTACTGGTTGATCGAAGCTAAGTCTCGGTCCTCCATATTTGATTAAATCAAAGTATCGCTGAACCATTCTAATCTATTTAATATCGAAAAAATCTGATGCCATCTAGAGTTGATTAAGGCCTGGATCAGTTAATTAATATCTAACTAATACTTTAGAAAACATTTCAGGCCTAAAGAAAGACCTGCAATAGGCAGATTTAGCTCTTGCATAATGCATGTTTAAGTTAGGATGGAATTTTAGCTTAAGACGATTTTAAGGAGATTTAAGTTTTTGTGAAACAGAGCCCTGAGCACAGAAAGATGACTGTGTTTATATAATCATAAAAGGAAAGATATCTCTTAAAGGTGTTATCTTAAGTATATTTTCCTTGTTGTGTGTCAATGCAGAATAGCCATTTTAATAATTTCTGGTTAAAACAAACCTGAACATTTCCGTGAGCTTTAGTGATAATTTCAATGGTTTCTCCTTCTTGCTGACATTCTAATATCATAGCATTATATCGTGCTGTTAACAGAAACAGCTGATCCTTTGACTCACCCTAAAATAAAAGCTTGGTTTTAGTTAACACATTTTATAACTTAAGAGCACACTATTACCCCTTTGGGAGATCTTTTAAAACATTTATAAACAACTGATGGCCATGCAAGATAGGCCCACATTTTGCAATAGATGGACGTAAAATAGGGAAAATTAATAGGGATGATCCACTCGTTGTCCCAATAATTCACGTCGAATTACACAAGTTGTTGCCATGCAATATATACGTCAATATTTTGCAAAAGATGGACAGAGAACGAGCTAAAATAAATAATGTGATTTTTTGTACAATAAAGGGCCATAATCCAGGAAGTTACGGTCTGATGTGCGAACATCGAAAGGAACCAAGATCTTTGGGTTATAAACATACAGTACACTTCAAGCGGAAGTACTAAATTTCCCCGAGGTCCGACCTGGGCGTAAATGAAAAATCGCGGACGTCAGTTAATCAATCCGCTCTGGCCACGCTCAAAATTCCGCTCTAAAATTCCTCTGCGAATTTAAATAAACCGCCGACCTCCGCGATTATTTTAATCTGCCGCCCACCGCGAAATTTTAAAAAGTCGGACTTTCCACGCATGTACAGTCGGCACATCCATAGCTGGTTTGAAATGGGTTTATTTATCGTGCGATTCCACGACAGTGATATCGTAGTCGAATATCGGCATGCCAAAAGAAAGATTGTTAATTTAACACGGTTAGACACGCAGATTTTACTGGCTTATATTGAAAAATAACAAAAATCAAACAGGCTTTTAAATAATAAAATTAACAGAATTATGGCTGTACCGTACATTACTTCATCAATATGTTCGACATTTTTAAGACTTGCATCGATCTTCTATTTCAAACTCATTCAAATTACGAAAATTTCAAAGTTTACACACATAGATGCTGGTCTTACCGTTAGCGAAAGTTTTGTCCATCGAAATAGCCATTTCCATTCGGACAAATATGTCACACAATGCATTTTAAATTTATAAATCACACGCGAACAAGTAATATATGCCTTCATCTCCTGTTTTCAAGCACACATAGCCAGAAGTCACCGTCAACCTTGCTGAACACATGTATCAGTCGGATAATACCTTGATTTCGGCACCAAAGAGTCTGGGTCAATGCATACTGTCAGTCAAGATTCCTAATTAATTACGTGAATTCACACGTGTCATCAAAAGGAATTGATAATTGACTAAAATAGAAGCCCCTTTAACAACAAATTGTTACCATGTCGTATTCTTGTAAACAATACTTTCTATTAATTTTATTTACGATAAAACTCGGGATTTAAAAATGTGGATATAAAAGATAATTCAATTTTTGAATCGGTACAGACTTAAAGGTTAGCGTATGCGCCGTGTGAAAAGAATACTTAATCATCATATTCGCAGGGGACATATTCTGTTAAAATCATTCGTTGAACCGGTGGTGATATTTTTTTTAATTTGGCACAAAAACCATCCCTTATATCGCACCGTGCCCCTTTAAGTCGGACTCTCCATGCATGTACAGTCAGCACATCCGTACATGTAAATGTTTTAAAATAGCTAGGTTTATTTATAGTGCAATTGCACCGCAGTCATCATATCATAGTCGAATATCAGCTAATACGGCATGCAAAAAAAAGATTGTTAATTTAACACGGTTAGACACGCAGATTTTGCTGTCTTACATTGAAAATATATCAAATATCAAAAATTGGCAGGCTTTTATATAATATAATAAACAGAGTTATGGCTGTACGATTCATTACTTCATCAATATGTAAGACATTCAAACTCGTTCAAATTACGAAAATTTCAAAATTTATACACATAGATGTTGGTCTTACCGTGGGCGAAAGGTTTTATCCATTAAAATATCCATTCCCATTCTGACAAATAAGTTTCACAATGCATTGTAAATCGGTAAATCACACCTGAAGTATTATATCTTCGGATTTAAATCACAAATGAATTAAATGCACACCTCGCCAGAAGTCAACGTCAACCTTGACACAAACATGTACATAATACCATGACGACCTATTCATTTCGGCACCAAAGAGTCTGAGTCAATGCATACTGTCAATCAAGTTTCCAAATTATGTGAATTCGCACGTGTCATCAAAGGGAATTGATAATTGACTATAATAGAAGCCCCTTTAACAACAAATTGTTACCATGTCGTAGTCTTGTAGACAATACTTTCATTCTGAATTGTCAGTAAGTAATCATTACCCAAAATAGTTGACTTCATTAATAAAGAATAATTACAATTGGGACGCAAACAAACTGGATTTTCACACTAAATAGGTGTGGTTGTCACGGCTAAATTACTAACAGGCTACGATGAATTAGGGTTAGGTTAGGGTTAGGGTTCCGATATCTTTATTTAGGGTTAGGGTTGGGTTAGGGTTCATTAGTCCACCGATATCTATCATTAGGGTTGAGTTAGGGTTAGGTTTATTGATACCCACATTATAGTATTTCTTATAGCGGCGGACTAGTGAACCCCTGTCGGTGATAATATTTTTAATTTGGCACACAAATCATCCCTTATAACTAACGCATGCTTTTTTGTGAGGCAATTTCCTTTGTTCTGTTTGATGTTCACTCTTTGATCAGTTACTATTAATCCAAGTTCTGTCCGGACAAGATCCCATTCATAAGATCTGGTTGTTAGGCGTTTTATTAAAGGTTCTTCGATATGTTCATTGATAATTATTGGAAAGAAACCGAACCGGATTATTATTTAGGATATTTATCGTCAACTGTATAAATACGGTAAGCAGTTTGTGTGTTGCATTTATAAGTTAAAGTATATGGGTAAAACACCGCAATTTTTTAGCGGAAAAAACGCCCACAAGGACTTTTTTCATACTTCCGCCTGAAGCGTACTGTACATTTCAAGTTTCATTAAAATCAGATAAAAATTGCGACCTCTAGAGGGTCCACAACCTTGGTATTACATATTTTTACACTATTTGAGTTCAAGGAGCAGCCATACTGTCGGGCAGTTTTGGTCCAATTTTTACGAAATTCGAATTCAATCATCAAAAGGGTGTAAACAGTGATATATTTAATTGATTTTTAAAAGTAGTTAAATTTCAAACTCAGTCATCATTGTGTAAAGGTCATATATTTGAACATTTTTTTTAAATTGGATAAAAATTGTGACCTCTAGGGGAACCATAAGCTAAAAACGCGATTTTTCAAACAATCACAGGGCCATGATCCAGGAAGTTACGGTCCAATATGCCCGAATATCTAAAGGAACCAAGGTCTTTGTGTTATAAACATACATTTCAAGTTTCATCTAAATTGGATTAAAATTGTGAGTGTCTACAAGCTAAAAACATGATTTTTCATACCATCAGGGTCCATAATCCATGAAGTTTCGATCCGATACATGCTAATATCAAAAAAATCTGAGATCTTTTGGAGATAAACCAATATGTCAAGTTTCGTCAAAATCGGATAAGAATTGTGACCTGTAGAGTGTCCACAAACAAATTGTGGACGGACGGGGGTGGGGGTGACAGCATTATACGTCCACAGGAAAATGTTGGAACAACAATATTTGTTTAAAATCAAGCCTTTGTCTGAATGTGTATAGAACAAACCAAAAGTGAGGCTGATCCCCTACCAAAATCCCAAAATAAATAGAAGACACATAATATTAATTAATCGCACATTTAATTTTTTTCAAAAGTATCGAGCAATCGAACTGATTATCACTTTCTATCATCATATAGAATCAAAGTTATCTTGGCCCAAATCATCAACCAATGAAATTGCTTAGCTTGGTTTATTTTTTGTGGAAAATGTTAATCATAGAACTTAGTCAAGGTTAGGGCTGGCAATCGATCCTGTTTCAAGTATCGATTATCGCGGACCATCTGCCGATCGATAATCGATAACATCGGCAAAATATTTTAACTTAAAATTGTTGAATTGGTTTGAAAACAATCATAATTTGTACACGAATTATATGCGAGTTTATGCTGTGATATCATTCTGTATACATGTAGAATTTTTTTTTTTCCATTAATTTGACATTTGACAATAAAATAATAGCATTCCATAGCAAAACCAAGGTGTAGAAAGAAACTCAATCAACTTCGTTTGGAAGACAGAACCCGCCACCGCTCGCCATATCTTTGTCGCTTATGACCTGAATAATACTGAGTAAAATGTAGTTATTTCAATTTGATCACATCAAACGAATTCTTCAGTTTGCCGTAATAGTTTATTTCTTGCAGTGATTTCTTCGCACTGGGGAAATTAAAAATCTCCTCTTCAGACATTTCTTCGCAAATTTCTTAATAAATTAATAAATTTTATAAAGGGAAAGTACGTGTTTGACTTAGAAACAGAGAAGACGAAAGAACTGAAGAGTTAAAATAAGGGATACAACTGGATGTTATGTGAAACCATTGGCTCTCATCATGACATAAGCGGCCAACATTTCTCACCGGTTGCATCTCGCGTGAAAAAAAACAACAAACGTGTGTGTTTTATTATGACTATTCTGTTTAATTACAGTTCTAGGCCCAAGCACGCGTTGCAAAGAATACAGTGATAAGGATTACTTTTATGGACTTCTTCTTGCAAGTGAAGTACCTATAATTGCGTGATAATCGATATTTTAAAACTGTATCGATAATCGATTTTCAAAACAGTTACCGACGATTATCGGCAATTATCGATTATTTCCGCCAGTCAAGGTATTGACATAATGAACCTATACTCTTAGTTTCATTGTTCTCACCCAATTAGAACCAAAGTTCCAAAGTCTCAACGAATCAAATTGCTCATCTCTGCTTAGCCTCAGTGGAAAATCCACATGACTGAACTCTGTCAAGGCATTCACAAAGTTTCATCCTTCTCACTTAATTAGAACCAAAGTTATTGTGTAACAAAGCATCAACCAATCAAATTGCTTATCTCTGCTTACCCTAAGCAGAAAATGCTCATCATGGAACTCTATCAAGGCATTCACCTACACCAAGTTTAAACATTCTACCTCAATTAGAAGGAGAGTTATTGTGTCACAAAAAGTGTGCCAGACGGACACGGACAGACAGATGAAAAGACCAATTTTAATAGTCCCCTGCTTTCTTTTCGAAAGGAGAGGGACAACAAATCTTACCGGTGGTCGAAATAATTGCATTACTGCTATTCTTCCATTAATGCCAACTTCTTTTATAGGTCTTAATCCTTCTGGTGTCACAACATAAATTTCCATACGAGTATTCTTGGCAATAATCAAGTTCAGGTCATTTGGTGATGTGAAGTTGCCTGTAAGACAAATAAGACAATTTTAGATGGCTGTCTACAAACTGTTTCCTACACTGTAAGCTTCCAAGCCTTACCATACACTGAGCTTTCGGGCCAACACTCCAGTTCATAAAGATAGGTTGCCAGGCAACAAATCACACGACCACAGCAGCTAAATCGTCCGAGCAGTCGACAAGGGCTGTCAGATATTTATTCTTTTGTAGGTAATTAGGGGAATTTAATAGACAATTTCATACAGATGACATTATAATTTTCGTCGTTTGAAGGTTCACAAGGTTCTAAAAACAAGAGCCGTAACTGTGGAAGCAATCTACAGAAATTGTTCAAATTCGACAGGCTTTTTCGTTTTACTAATTCAAATAATGCATATAAATTTCATACAGATCGGATGATAATTTTTGTCATTTGAAAGTTCACAAAGCTCAACAAAGTAAATCAAGGGCCATAACTCTAAAGGTAATTGACAGAAATTGCTGACATTCAATAGGCTTGTTCGTCTTCGTTTCACTAATTTAGGTGATAACTGAAACTCAATAGGCTTCTTCGTTTTACTAATTTAAACGATACATATAAATTTCATACAGATCGGATAATAACTTTTGTCGTTAGAGCATTCACAAGGTACAACAAAGTGAAACAAGGGCCATATAAATTTCATACAGATCGGTTGATAACTTTTATCGTTAGAGCGTTCACAAGGTGCAACAAAGTAAAACAAGGGCCATTACTCCAGAAGAAATTAACGGAAATTGCTGAAATTCAATAGGTTTCTTCATTTCACTAATTTAAATGATGCATATCAATTTCAAACAGATCGGATGATAACTGTTGTCATTAGAGCATTCACAAGATTCAACAAAGTGAAACGAGGACCATAACTCTAGATGTAATTAACGGAAATTGCTGAAATTCAATATGCTTCTTTGTTTTACTAATTTAAATGATGCATATAAATTTCATACAGATCGGTTGATAACTTTTGTCGTTAGAGTGTTCACAAGGTGCAACAAAGTGAAACAAGGGAATAATTAGGGTTTCACACTATTGTTTTTACTAATATTGTTATTACTAAAATTATTCTTCTTCTTATAATATTATTATTTTTTTTTATTTGGGGGAGCCTATTTCTCAGCAACTATAAGAGATAGAGGTCTGAAGTTTGGTTTTCTCCAGGGAAACTGGGTGGTGGTTAGTGCTTAAATGTAAAACTAAATTTGTGCGCATACCGGAAATGCGTCAAATCTTTAACGTGCACGCAAATTGAAAATCGGCCACAATTCTGCTAATTCTCAACCGATTTTTCTGATATTTACATTTTTGCATAGCCAGAGACATTTCTGAGTTGATAGCAGTTCAAAAACGTCGAATTTTGAAACTTTGTCGCTTTCATTTTTTCGGTGAAAATTGGAAAATTTTCAAAATTTTTATTTTTGGGAATTTTGTAATTTTGATTACATTTTTGTATAGCTGACATCATTCCGATGCCAGCGATACAAGTTTTGTTTTGAAATTCGGATATTGATTTTGGTCGATTTTTGCGATTTTAACGAGTTTTAGTCAAATTTTAATAACTTTAAAACGGCTCCAACGATTTTTCTGAAACTTCAGGAATATGAAGTCAAAGGACCAAACCAGTTCATGAACTATAAATGAAAATCCTCTAATCACCGGAAGTAGTCAAGAAAGGTATCTGAACTTTGACAAAATTCAGAAAAATGGGTGCCTGTGCGGAAATTGCGATGTATCAATTGTGTTCTTGTCGTTTAGTTAAAGTTTTATATCGTTTAATAGCCAATTGAATTGTCTATCAGGTGGTACTTCAGCGACAAGTTTCTATCAAAAAATAAAAAAGTTATATGACCTTGAAAAGTGAGGTATTTTGCGATTTCGAGCAACTTTAGACGTATGTTTCTCTGAAACGCCCCCAAGGATTTTTTTAAAACTTTCTCAATCGAGAGATAAATGGGTACTCTGTTGTGTGAAACCACTGTATCATTTTTTGAAATGTCAGGGGTAGCCGAAAAATGAGATCGAAAATCGAAAACGTCGTATTTTTACGATTTGGAGCATTTTTAGAGGTCTATTTCTCGAAAAGTCAACATAATATTTTTTTGGAACTTCTTCTACAGAGAGGCCTATCAGTAGTGTTATATATAAAAACATTGTACAACAGTTCCAAATTTCAGGAGTAGCCGAACAAAGGGATCGAAAATTGAACACGGCACCTTTCATTGTTAAGTGAAACATAAGAGGGGATCCAATCTGTACGTTTTGTCAACGTATAGAGCCAATTCAAGAGTGCTTTTATCAGTGATGATATTTGAACTAAAATTATTTCAACTATGAGTGTTTTCTTCTATCCAAAATATGGGTATAGTGACCCTGTAACAGAAATAGTTGATAGCTGTGTGTAATAATTAGTCTTTGAATTAATATTGTTGCTTCTTTGTCAAAATTATCTTATACCGGTAATCATCTGGATAGAAATCGACGGCTCGCGCTGTTTATAAGAAAGTCCAATTTGTTAAGCAGTTGCAGTAGTATCGTACAGTAGTATCGAATATTGTACCTGTGATAAAAAGCGTGACGCTGTTTGAGCATGGACTCTATCTGTAATTAATATTAAAATTTTATTAGTGACGTCAAATCTTTAAGGTGCACGAAACCAGAAAATTGGCGATATTTCATTGAATATTCAATCAATTTTTGAACCAGTTACATATTTGAGTAGCTGACATGAACGCGATTCCGAAGTCCCGTGTACACATTGGTGTGGCCGTAAAAGATCCCTTGGCGGTAGGAATTCTATATAAAAGAAGACTAGCGGCACTGTACGAGCATGTTTAGAGGTCATTTCGGGACTAACATACGGTTCATTATTTTTTATTTCAATAATTCGCTTGCGCGTAGGGGTCATTAGCAGTGGGAGGAAACCGGAGGACCCGGAGAAAAACCACGAGGTTGGACAGGCGACCCTACTCCTTGTCACGTACAACCGGGGAATCGAAACCCCGCCAGTTGACTCAATGACAGACCGTATGATACAGCGCAGTCCCAAAGGCTAGCCTACCGTGCAAATTCCAGCCAGCATAATGAATCTATATAAGAAACATTTATTCCTACTGGCGATTTACAAACAGACCCCAAGGCTAGCATACCGTGTAATTTCCAGCCAGCATAATGTATCTATATAAGAGACATTTATTCCTACTGGCGATTTACAAATATTGCATGAAGAAATTAAATTCATAAGAACAGAAACACGACTAATGCACAGTATCATATTGATTATAAAAGTACAATGTATATATTGGTTACACTATATATGTCACAAAACAACAATCATTAGGTAATAATAATTATTTACTAATTATATAAATCATTTTAAGAGGAAGGAGTTATCCGTTGTTTAATTTAACAGTTATATAATTACTTTTCTCGGAAAAGCCGCCAATGATTTCTTTCAAACTTGCTCAATCGAGATTCTACTGGGTAGTGTATTGTGTGAAACCCTTGTACAGTTTTTCTAATTGTCATGGGTAGCCCAAAAAAGAGATCGAAAATTGAAAACAGCGTATTTTTACGAGTTGGAGCATGTTTAGGGGTCAATATCTGAGTTATGCTAGAGTGTGTTTTTTTTTGGGGGGGGGGGAGTGGTGGGGATAGTCTTTTGTCATGCATCTGGCGATTGTGTGACGCCTTTGCGACCGTGAAAGCCTTCAGCATTGCGCGCAATTCTAGTTAGGCTTTCACCTTCGGTGAAAGACTATTGTTATTACTAAGATTAATATTATTATTATTATTATTTTTTTTATTGGGGGAAGCTAGATCTCAGCAACTATAAGAGATAGAGGTTTGAAATTTGATTTTCTGTCGGAAAAGTGGTGTGCAGCTACTGCTTAAAGCTATTTCCAAATTTGTGCGCATAGCGGAAATGCGTCAAATCTTTAACGTGCATGAAAATTGATAATCGGCCATTATTCTCTTAATTCTAAATGGATTCTTCAGATATTTACATTTTTGGATAGCTGGAGACATTTCTGAGCAGATAGCAGTTCAAAACTGTGGAAATTAGAAACTTTGTCGCTCTAATTTTTTTGGTGAAAAATGGAAAATTTTGAAAATTTTCAAAATTTTTTATTTTTGGGAATTTTTAAATCTCAGTTATATTTTTGGATAGCTGACATCAATCCGATTCCAACAATAGAAGTTTTTTTCTGAAATATTGACTTTGATTTTTCACTTTTTTTCGCATTTTGGTCAAATCGTAGAGTTCTTATTTTTTTAAAACGGCTCGAACGATTTTTCTGAAACTTCAGGAATATGAAGTCTAAGGACCAGACCAGTCCATGAACTATAAATGAAAATCCCCTAATCACCGGAAGTAGTCAAGAAAGGTATCCGAACTTTCACAAAATTCAGAAAAATGGGTACCTGTGCGGAAATTGCGATGTATCAATTGCGTTTTTGCCGATTAGTTAAAGTTTTATATCATTTAATAGCCAATTGAATTGTCTATCGGGTGGTACCAAAGCGGCAAGTTTCTATCAAAAATTTAAAAAGTTACGTGATTTTGAAAAGTAAGGTTTTTTGCGATTTCGAGCAAATTTAGACGCATGTTTCTCGGAAACGCCCAGAACGATTTTTTTAAAACATTCTCAGTCGAGAGACTAATGGGTACTCTGTTGTGTGGAACCCCTGTATCATTTTTTGAAATGTCAGGGGTAGTTGAAAAAAGAGATCGAAAATTGAAAACGGCGTATTTTTACGAGTTGGAGCATGTTTAGGGGTCAATATCTGAGTTATGCTAGAGTGTGGGTTTTTTGGGGGGTGGGGGAGTGGTGGGGATAGTCTTTTGTCATGCATCTTGCGATCGTGTGACGCCTTGGCGACAGTGAAAGCCTTCAGCATTGCGCGCAATTCTAGTTATTATTAAGCTTTCATATTACATATGAAAGCTTATTGTTTCTGTTAAGATTATTATTGTTATTTTTTTTTTG